TTGCTTCAGTAACCTTGAATTGTTTTCAGACGGTCTTTTTTATGTTGTTTTATCGGGTCCGTGATTGTTTGGAGGGTGCCATCTGGGTCAGTGTCTCCAGAGCCTCGGGTCCGGTCAGTTTTTGTGTCGTGGTTTTGCTGCATAAATATGCTTTGGGCTTCTAGAGTCCAGAGCTCTTACTCCATGCAACTTCTCATCCAATGGCTAGCCACTCCCCTTTGATGACCTAATTTGACAGTTAGTTTTCAGAATGCAAATATCCCCCACAGAGTCATACAGATACTCATAAATACACACATTTATAAAGACACAATCAAACAAACACATATAAAGGCACAAATACATATAACGGCACAAACACATAGACACAGTCATATGACATGCATACACATATAGTCATACAGACACACATAGACACAGTCATAGCAATAGACATACAGTCACCGTTTTGCAAAAAAATACAAACACTGTCATACAGACACACTTACGCATTGTCATACACACACATACACATAGTCATGCAGAAAAACATGCAGATAGTCCTACAGACACACATACACAGTTATGCAAACTCATGCACTTAGTCATACAGACACACATAAAATCATGCAGACAAACATGCACATAGTTATACAGACACACAGTTACATATGCATTCCCAGACACATGCATGGAGAGAGGGAATGCCACGCTGTAATCCAGGGAAGGATGAATATTATTCACCAACATTCTCACCTGTGACTGCATGTTATTTGATAAAATTGCTGTCTCCATGATGGGCGACTCCCTGTAACTAGTGAACTGACTACATGATGTGCGGCTCGTAGTGAATGCAGAGCTTCTGGCTCATTTCTTGTGAATCTACTTCTGACTCCTCCACTCCACAAAGACAGAGAAAGAACTATGCCAGTGTACCAGGCAAAACAGAAAAACACAAAAACTTGCCGGGTGTACCTCCGCTTGTACCCCACCATGCAGGCAAGAAGGGGAGATAACGGTACCCGAATACGTCCCCAGCCAGGTCAGAAGAACCTGTTTAACACACTTATAAGGCGTCTCCTCCTTACAAACACCTGACCTCATTAGACACTTATATCAGGCACTTATATCTGTGGTCAGTGCCACCACTGTCTCGCCTACCACCCCAAGCCCTTGGCCTTGATTTTCTTATGGCAAATCCAGGCCTGATTGTAACTAGCCAGATCATTATAAATGGTTTGACTTCTCTGTCTGTGCTAAGCCCAACAGTGCAGGACATTGGCTGATGCTCTCAGCCAATAAGATAGCCCTGCACTGCTGATCTTAGCTTAGGATTGCTAATGGAAATCTATCAAATAATTTTAACATATTTTATATATTAATGTATCTCAAAATGATAAAATCTGTCCTTTCCCCATATTGAGTGTTTGGGTATACATATGTCCCTGGATTATATTTGATTGACATCAAAATAACTTTTTGGTAAAGAAATATGATTCCTGGTCTCATGCTAGTCAGTCTGGAGTGATATTGGAAGAAGCTAGTTTTCTTGCCCGTTTCTAAGCTTGTCCTATGCCATCATTCTCCCATCTACCATCTACTTAGTCCTTGGGTCTCAGCAGAGTCATTGAACATCACCCAGTTCCTTGTTATTCATGCCTATCCATTTTCATCAGTCCGGAATACACTCTGCTTTTTACAGAACAGTCAGCACTCGTATTGCACAGGGTGCCCGATGCTATTTACTTCTATACCCATTATGATGTCCGATGACATCATAATATGTTTGTGTCAAAGGCTTGGATATGACTTTTAGCCCTTTATTCATATTTATAGAAAAACATTGTTATATGACAATGTAAGGTCTTCTTTGTATTTTTTTTTGTTTTAAAAATGTGTTGTTGCATCTTTTTAAAATACACTTTACATTAATAAGAGAAATTAGAAGGAAAAGTTCAATTTATAAAATGTTCCTTTTAGAAATTACTTAAATAATCCATCTGAGAATTTATATTTAAAATGCCAGTTTGAAAAATGTTTATATTTGTTAGCATTTCTATTTATATAGAGTAAATGCAATGCTCTTTGGGACTTATTATAATATTCCTTTTGTACATATTGATATTATAAGAAATTACAGATTAGTTACCAGTGTTTGTTAAACCTAGAACTGGACTTCTCAATTTGACAAACCTTTGCTAATTTAAATAGAAATACCTTAGTGTAAAGAAGATCTGTACATCCTTGAATAGGTGTGACCAACATTTATGAATCAGAAACTGTTTCCTTTAAAAGAACATTCCAAATCACATAAACACTACATAAACTATACAGATCGCTACAGTGGTTATGGTACCAAAAGTGCCGTGGAGCCTCCTATTATGAGTTTTCAAATTATTTTAGTTTGACTTTTTACCCGAGGCCTGCCGTGCACTGCTGTCTTCCTGTACAACAGCAAGCTGAGAGCTGAAAGCTTCTGCCTAGGACGTTTCTTGAGCCATTTCACTAATGGGGAAGTTCAGTATGTTGACATCTCCTGTTCTCCACCTACACTACCTCAGCATGAAAACTGCCCGTCCCTAAGCAGGAGCTTCCATTAGCTCTCCTGAGCTGAACCCTACAGTGCAGGATTAGTTCATTGGCCAAAACATCAGCAGATCACGCTTAGCCAGTGAGCTAAACCATGCACTGCAAAGCTTAGCTCAGACAAAGAACTTTTTTTGGCTTTCACTGGTCTACCTTGCTTTCTTCAAGCTAGAGCAGGGACAGGCAACCTTAAGCACTCCAGACATTCTGGACTACACCTCCCATGATACTTTGCCAGTATTATAACTGTAAAAGCCTTATGGAAGATGTAGTTCACAAAATCTGGTGTGCCTGAATGTTGTCTACCCCTGTACTAGAGCATTCCCTGTTTATTACTGAACAACCAGCAGTTTGATTTCATAGGGTACAAGCCTTACCATATATTTTCTTTTGCCTATTATGATATCAGATTAAGTCATACTATAGATGTGATAGCTTGTTTTGAACCAACTATGGTTTTAAAGTAGCATTATTTGTATGTGCATTTTTTCATTTAAAGGTAGTGAAAATGTTTCATTTTATCTCTTAAAATATCTCTTTATTGGCCCTATAAAGCTGTTTTGAGAGGGATACTCTGTGAAATTACAGGTTACAAACCTTTCCCTACATGGTTGAATCAGCAACGGTCGGGATAATAAAAAGGCCAAGGCTGATAAAGACCCACCAAACCGGGACCTCAGAGAGCTGTTCCACAGCAAAAGGTCACGGAGGGCCAGACAACAAAAATTGCCCAGCTTTAGGCTGCACACTGCACCCATGATTCCAGACTATCTGTACTGGAGAAGAGGATTGAGGAACTCCAGCAGCAGCAGTTAACTACCGCAGGCAGAATCGATACCATGGAAAATCTGCGGATACAGTACAATCTCAAGCTCAGAGGTGTACCTGAGGTACTAGAGATCTCAGATCTACCTCATTTCCTCCAACAATTCCTTGCAGCTTACTTGCCGCCTAAATAGTCAAAGGCAATGAAACTCAAAGGTATGTTCTGCATACCTGCACCACCTTCCACAACACCAGATCTCATCATACGTTTCCAGACACTGTAGGACAGGGACCTGCTCCTGACAGCAGTGAGGGGTGATAACCCAATATTGTTCGAGGGAGCTACACTACAGATATTTTCAGACCTCACCAGGAACACACTGGCCTGGCACCGCTCTCTATGCCCTCTTCTGCAGCTCATTTCTTCTCTACCATTTCATGATATGCTGGATACTGCCAACACAATATTGTTTTATGTGACCTGTTGCTTACACGATCTTGTACAAGTAATGTCTGGCATGAGAAAAATAAAGAATATTTAAAAAAAGACAATTAACAGTTTATTACAAGCAATTTAAGGAGCCTGACAATCCCAACATCATGACTGCATATAGAAATCAGTTATCATGTTTCCTGAGTGACTTTGGCTATCTATAAAATAATAATTTATGGTGTTGTATAAGAGTATATATTGTAATATGACATAAATATATCAATATAAATAAATAAATATATCACTTTATTTATTTATTTATTTATTTATTTTTCATGTTAAAAAAACAAAAACAAAGAATATTTGGAAACCATTGTTTTAACCTGTATTATTCCATTGTTTGGTTTAGAGTACATGGTTTCTGTATAGTTAAAAAATTGCCATCTTACTAACTTGTATACTAGATGTGAAATGTCAATTTTTCAATGTGATTGTCAATTTCTGAATAAAAAAAAAAAAATGTACCAAGAAAATGGAATGAAAAATGAGAAAATTATGTTACTCAAATCATTTTTCTTATTTTTTATTATTTTATTTGGATTGTTGACTATATATTTATATTTTTACAGATAGATGTAATATATTTCTGCACATGCTTGTCAGAGGATTTTTCCTTTTTCCAAGATTTGCATGAAAAGATATTATTACTATTTCTTGCACACAGGGCTGACTTGGGGCTCTATGTTTTCAAGCAGAAGACATACCTTGGTTACTAGAAGCATGTGAGTAAATTAATCCTTCTTAAACGTCACTGAACAGCATAAGGAAGCATGCTGATTCTTCATAGCATTGACTGTGGCACAGATGCTGATTGTTTGCACATTTGAATAAGTCTGATCACAAATTGCACATTATCTGTCCCCTTTTGATTGAGTGCCTTTGGGGGAGGGTGGGGGGGGGGAGGTAGAAACAAGCTATGTACACCAAGTAAAGTAAATATTAACCATATTTAGTGTCTGTTTCTGAGTATCTGAATTCAATAAATTATATATGGATCAAGGGTTTGTTTTGTAATGAAAAAACACCAAAGAATAGGACCATGACACAATAGAATATTCGAAATGTGCTTTTTTTATTTAAAAGATAAATGGAAACTAAAATAAAAAGGTTCAGTTTGTTTTTCTTTTAATCTGATGATTAGTTGTATTGATCCAGATCAACCTGATTGGGAGGGGAAAAAACAAAGAAAAAAAGAGCAAAGTTCTAGAAATGTGTCCCAAGTGAAAAAAAAATATTGATCCTTGGGGTAAAGTAATACTAATCCTGTCCTTATGTAAAGGCGGTATGGAGTTGAGTTGGGAGAGGTGAGAGATCATGTCTGTTTCTGCTATTTTGGGTATATAGATGTTCTGTTTGTGAAGCCTGGGTCTGACCATTCTGATATATTTTTTGGTATTCTGATGAAAGACATGCATAACACATGGATGCAGAAACATAAAATATTTTCAAAAACTGCTTCAACTATAAAACTGCCCCTTAAGTTACAAACATCAAATCAGAAATTTTAATTCCTCCTTTGCTGTCATAGATGAGTACTACGTGCACATGCTGGATTGGTGCATGCCATGGAAATCCTTCCCCTTTCCAGTTCTTGAAGCGTGTTCAGGTCGTAGCAGCGCACATCCATAGTTGGACATCTGGGAGATCACTCTGAACATCCATATGTAACTAATCTGTGTGCTAGATGCTGTGAATAAACTGATAATTAACAAACTTTAAACTAATTGATACCCAGACTACAGGCCAAAACATACCCTGAGAGCTGACGTGCAAGATAGCATGTACATGCACCGTGATTTCTAGATTTTATCATGCATTTTTAAAAAGATAATATGGTGATCGAAGCAGCAGTGATTGGGAAACTGAAAACATACGATTTCAGTTCAGCAAAGCCACCAGTGAGTCTTCATTGGAAGTCAGACCAGGTTATTCTTTATTGGATTTCTTCCACTTTTCTTAACCACAAGTTCTGATGCATAAGTATGGTTATTAATGCTTACAGATGTAATCCAAAGTGGTGTGGTGTGACTTTGTATACAGCCCAACAGACACTCACAGAGGCATTGACGAGTTGTAAGAGCAGGGAGTTTTTGGAAGTATTGAAATTTGGAAGTGAATGTGAACTTATGGATATGGAGAAATGTTTTCATTTCACACTCCCATTAAGAGGTGCAAGTGGTAGCATTGGCCAGTATTTTAAAATAATCTCAAAATATATTATGCAGAATTTACACAATACCTGTGTTTGTTCTTGTGGTTATGGCACAAAAGGCAACGTCAGACATCACAGGGTGTATCATTAAGTGGTACTCCTTAAAAGAAAAGGAAATGTACCCTATTTAATATTTTTAAATATAAACATTTCCCTATAAATGCTAGTGTATATATCGTTTAAAGAGGTCATTGCAGTGTTATGACTCGAGAATGAGATAAAAAAAAAACTGCTTAAACATATTTATTTTATTTTTTTATCTTTCTGTTAAAGTGAAACCATGTAATTTTAAACAGAACACCAGATTTTTGGGTTGAGGGGGGTTCTTTTCTCCATTCCTACAGTTCTTACACCCATGCTGTTGACTTTCTACTCATAAGAAGACATCTGCTGTTTAGGAAGACACGCTTCTTGTTTATATGCCAACAGATGCTTAAGATTAGACTGTTGAGCTTTCTCTATTCAGGCGATGCTTTTCATGGCACCATTAAGACACGTAATGGTGTGGTTTCAAGTCATGTGATCTTTTGTTCAATTTTTTATGTCTTTTCCCTAAAATACATTTCAACCATGTTACAGCCACTGCATGTTCCATTTCTAAGAAACTGGTTGCATTCTGTCTGTACCATTATTCCACTTGAAATCTGAAAGCCCCTAAAGTAACCCAGTGTGCTAGCCTTGCTGTCTCATAATAATAAACCTTCATTTATATTAAAAATGCAACTTAGGTGTGTTGGCATATAGAAAGCTCATATTTTTCCTACAAATAACATCCCAACTCCAACAGTACTCACTTTAATTTAATTTATAAAAAATAAATGTTTCTAAAGTGTTTATAATTAATAATATCTAGGCTTTTTCTATTTTAAAATATCATTGCTATATTCTAATGATAAAAAAACAACAATATGTATTTGAATAGTTGATGATCACATGCAAATTCAAATCTGGATTTTACATATAAATTCTCTATGAAAATCAACGTGATAATTGACAAACACATCATGCAAACGTAAGAAGTTTTCGTAAAGATCCTTTTACGAAAATGCTTTAAAATCTTAAATCTATGGAACATGTTTTTCACAATAATTTTCATCCTTACCAAGACTAGTGAATTAACACGAGAAAAAAAACAATGTACTGAATATTTAAAAATGATTGTATTCTGTACTCCTATATGCTGTTATACTGTTGTATATTTGTATAAGCTCGCCACGATTTTAGTAAAGAAAAGGAGATGTCATTTTTTACTCAAACAATATATATATATATATATATATATATATATTTTTTTTAAAGTACTACTTCTAGCAAGGGCTTTGGAGCCAGTGCCATCATTTTATTTTTATTCTTCTTATTATTGTTTTTTTATAAAGCACCATATCTTCCAACTCTTACCTTCAATGCATATCTTGGGCTGCCCCGTGCCAGTGGAATTCTCTTCCCCACTCCAGTAGACTTTCCCCAAGTCTAAATTCTGTCAAAAATCACAACAAACCAATTACTTCTAAAATGCATGTCAATTCAACTGTTAGCTTCCTTCCACTGCTCTCCATCTCCTAACCCACTACACTACAAAGGAAATAGATTTTCTAAATTAGATATTTGTAAAAAATGAGAAAAAGTCATCCCTACCTTTATTATATGACAGAATTATTAAGCCAAATCCAGCTGTGCTGAAAGGTTTGCATACCCTTGGAGAATTGGCAATATATGTACCATTTGTAAAGAAAACATGAGTGCAGTGTTTTGTAATAGTTGTCTATGAGGCCCCTAATTTTTGCAGGGGATGTAGCTGCCCATTCGTCTTGGCAAAATATCTCTAGGTCATGCAAAATCTTTGGTCGTCTTGGATGAACTGCAAGTTTGAGATCTACCTAGAGTGGCTCGATGATATTAAGGTCAGGAGACTGTGATGGCCACTCGAGAACCTTCAACTTTTTCTGCTGTAACCAGTGGAGGGTCAACTTGGCCTTATGCTTAGGGTCAAATTAACTAAAAATATATAGCATGTGCGCTCCACAAATAATTAATATAAAAAATATTTACCTTTAATAAAAAATACCAGCTAAAACAATGAAAAACAATTACCCTAGATGTAATTAATAACTCTTAGGTGGGACATATAACACAATAAATAAATGATGTATCCAATTCTAACATTGGTTAACCCCTTCAGGACGGAGTCAATAGTGCACGTTCTGATCAAAACAAAATGTAAACAAAAACTGGAATTTGCGCTATATGTCTGTTCACCCGTAATTCACCGCTGTCACATTAAGTGCACCCACACTTATTATATATCATTTTGTTCAGGAGAAACAGGGCTTTAATTTATCATTAACTATTCATATATGGAACATAATTTGTTATGAATAAAATATAAAAAAAATTGAGAAAATAAGATTTTTTTTAAAATTTGTATTTACGTCTGACATTTTAGCTGTTAATGTCATAATACTGTTAGGTATTACTGCAAAAGAATGCCCATGTTTGTAATCAGCGATGTCTCACGAGTACAACAGTACCCCCCATTAACAGGTTTTATGGTGTTTTGGAAAGTTACAGGGTCAAATATAGAACGTTCCATTTTCAAATTGAAATTTGCCAGATTAGTAATGTTACCTTTGAGACGATGTGGTAGCCCAGGAATGAGAATTACCCCCATAATGGCATACCATTTGAAAAAGTAGACAACCCAAAGTATTGAACGTGGGGTATGTTTAGTCTTTTTAAGTAGCCACTTAGTCACAAACACTGGCCAAAGTTAGCGTTCATATTTGTTTTTGTGTGAAAAAAGCAAAAAACTAATATTTGGCCAGTGTTTGTGACTAAGTGGCTACTAAAAATGACTGGACATACCCTATTTGCAATACCTTGGGTTGTCTACTTTTGCAATTGGTATGCCATCATCGGGGTAATTCTTATCCCTGGACTACCATACGGTCTCAAAGGCAACATAATCAATCTGGCAAATTTCAATGTAAAAAAAAATGAAATGCAAGCCTTATATGTGACTCTCTAACTTTCTAAAACACAATAAAACCTGTACATGGGGGTATTGTTATTCTCGGGAGACTTCACTAAACACAAATATTAGTGTTTTAAAACAGTAAAACATATTACAACAATAATATAGTCCATAAAAGTGCAGTTTGTTTGTAAAAAATGCAAAAAACTGCACTTTTACTTAAAATATCATCGTTGTAATAAAATTTACCAGTTTGAAACACTAATATTTGAGTTCAGCGAAGTCTCCCGAGTAAAACATTACCCCCTATGTACAAGTTTTATGGTGTTTTGGAGAGTTACAGGGTCAAATATAGTGCTTGCGAATTAAATTCTCTGCACTTTCTCCCTGTGTTGTCAGGCATGTCAATCAAATTTTAATTAATCAAATCACATAATTATGTTAAAAGAGTACTTAAATATACACGTAGAATTTTAATATATATGCATTTATAGGTATTTAAATTCTACGTGTATACTTATGTAATCTTTTATGTAATTATATGTATTTATCTATATATATATTTGCGGTTATTTGTATTTTATATGTAGATAGATATATATGGAATGTCATTCTAAGTGTATTTTGTTACCTATATATATATATTAATAACAAAATACAGTTAGAATGAAATTACATATGAATATATAATTTTAATAAAATTTTGTTTCAATATTTTATGTATTTATTTTATTATTTTATTTATTTATTATTGTAATTATACGTATATATATATATATATAATATATGTGTATATATATATTATATATATAATATATATACATATTATATATATGTAATGTCATTCTAAGTGTATTTTAATACTAATATATATACTAATATTAGTATTAAAATACACAACGTATGACGTTATAAATATATAATATGTATATATATTATATATATATACATATATATATATATATATATATATATAAATATATTGAATTTATTTTTACACTTCTAATTTTTTTTTTTTACATTTCCCACCAGCAGGGGGACTGTCTGATATTTCAGACAGCCCCCCTGCTGGCAGATCCACAGCCAGCTATAGGGGGCCATGTGATCGCTCTTTGAGAGCGATCACATGGCTCCCGGGGGCCTCATTTGCCGGAGGAGGGCTGCCTGGGCGGTCAGGCAGCCCTCCAGAAGAGGATCGCGGCGGAGGTGAGTCCTCTGGGGGCTTAAGCCGTTCTGTGCCGCCGCAATGGCTTTAAAGCCCTTTAAAGCCGCGACGGCATAGAACGCCGTAACGGCGTTAAGGGGTTAATAACATATACTTCCCAAAAACTGCAACAGTTTCAATTAATACAGAAGCAGCATGTTGCAGTCCAAAGGGAAAGTAGATGTGAACACAAAGGGGGTTGAACAACTAAATGTTGCAAATCTTAGTGAGACCCCCTTTTAATAACATTGCATGTAAATTGTATAAAAACTGTAGGTAATGTAAGATACTGGATAAATACCCCTCTCTAAGAGAAAAATTACCAAATAAATATACAAAAACAACATTAATATTGAAAAGTATAAAAAAGTGTAATAAAAAGGTACAAAAAAATTAAAAATCCCAAAGTTCAAAAGGTACCTGCTGATATAACAGATGTAAAAGTACCTGACCTCGGGTGGGGTTAGAGGGCCCAAAAAACCGAGGTGACGATCCAGATGATTCAAAAATAGAAACAGCTATTCTAAGATCGAAATGTGGTAATAAAAAAAACTGCTTGACTTGTTGATGAATGGTAGAACACATATGATCTCAATGAAGCCAGTCACACAGGCAGTAAACTGTAGATATACTTGATGGATATCAGCAACAATCAATATAGATAACAGAAAGGAGAAACGCACTGCATCTACGCATTTCATCCTGTTCACAGGACTTACTCAAGACCATTTGGGTCATTGTCATGCTGGAAAGTCCAAGAGCGTCCCATGCGCAGCCTTTGTGCAGAAGAATGCAAATTGTCTGCCAGTATTTTCTGATAACATGCTGCATTCATCTTGCCATCAATTTTCCCCCGTGCTTTTAGAGATCAAACACCCCAAAACATCAGTAGGGACAGTATTCTTTTCACTATCAGCCTTCCAAACATAGTGCTTATGGTTGTGACCATAAAGCTCTATTTTGGTCTCGTCATTCCAAATTACAGTGTGGCAGAAGCTGTGAGGCATGTCAAGGTGTTGTCAGGCATATTGTAACCGGCTTTTTTGTGGCATTGATGCAGTATATTTCGTATTGTGCTCCCTGAAACAACCATACAATCGTTTTCCAATGCAACCTGTATTTCTCCTGAGGTTATTTGTGGGGTTTTCTTTGTATACCGAACAATTCTTCTGGCATTTATGGCAGAAATCTTTGTTGGTCTACCTGTCCTTGGCTTGGTATCAAGAGATCCCCAAATTTTCCACTTCTTAATAAGTGATTGATTGAGCAGTACTTGCTTTACATATCTTTTTATATCCTTTTCCATCTTTATAATGTTCCATTACCTTGTTACGTAGGTCTTTTGACAGTTATTTTCTGCTCCCCATGGCTCAGTATTTAGCCTGCTCAGGGCATCCACGTGAGAGCTAACAAACTCATATGACTATTTATATACAGACACTAAGTCAAACACAGCCCTGGTCCTCATAGAGACAGGGACGGACTGACAGTGGCCTGGGCCCCCGGGCAAAATTAGCACCTGGGCCCCCAGCAGACCGATATATATGCTGGTATAGGTGTACCGTATATTTGATTGTATGTACATGTAAAGTGAATGCATGTTTCTGTGTGTATATTCACTGTGAGCACTAGGGTAAGTGAATATATGTATGTCTTTATGTGTAGTGTCAGGATATGTGGATGATTAGTATATTTGAATACATGTTTTTGGTTTTGTGAATAGGGTAGTATTTTTTTGTGTGTGTTTGTGTAGCATGGCAGTATGTAAAAGGGGGTATTTGTGAAACCAAGTGTTAAATGTTACGAGCCACCTTAAAGGGACTCTCCAGTGCCAGGAAAACAATCCGTTTTCCTGGCACTGCAGGTCCCCTCTCCCTCCCACCTTCCATCCCCGGTTGCTGAAGGGGTGAAAACCCCTTCAGTGACTTACCAGAGACAGCGACATGTCCCACGTCGCTGCTTCTTCCTCCGCTCATGCTCCTCCCCTTCATCACGTCAGCCGTCGGGGGAGACCTAATACGCATGCGCGGCAATGCCGCGCAGGCGCATTAGACCTCTGCATAGGAAAGCATTGAAAATGCTTTTCAATGCTTTCCTATGGGAATTTTAGCGACGCTGGAGGTCCTCACACAGCGTGAGGACGTCCAGCGACACTATAGCACAGAAATCCTGTGCTATAGACCAGGAAGTGCCCTCTGGTGGCTGTCTAGTATACAGCCACTAGAGAAAGAGTTAACCCTGCAAGGTAATTATTGCAGTTTATAAAAACTGCAATGACTACACTTGCAGGGTTAAGGGTAGTGGGAGTTGGCACCCAGACCACTCCAATGGGCAGAAGTGGTCTGGGTGCCTGGAGTGTCCCTTTAAAGGAACACTATAGTGTCAGGAATACAAATGTGTATTCCCCCCCTTAAAAATGCGATTTACTCACCTGTTTCCCAGCACCGACCAAACTCCTTGGCAGAGTTCATCAATTTAGATGATCTCAGCCAACCCTATGCTCTTCCATAGGAAAGCACTAGAAGGCTATTGTGCACGCGCAGCAAAACGCTGTGCCAATCACCATCATAGAGATGCATTGAATCAGTGCTTCTCTATGACAAGCGTTCAGCGTCGACATGCAGATCATGGAGATGCTGAATGTCAGTGCTGCACATTTTGCAATACTGACACAGGAAGCGCCTAGGTGTTCCTAGGAAGCAATGTAAACACTGCATTTTCTCTAAAAAAGGCAGTCTTTACAGCAAAAACCCTGCAGTAGTATACTATCCTCACCAGAACAACTACATTAAGCTATATAATAAACATTAAGCTGTTACTATACATTAAGCTGTATAATATAAATTAAGCTGTAGTTGTTCTGGTAACTATAGTGTCCCTTTATGTTTGTGTGTGCAAAGGGGTAGGGACTGCAGAGGGTGCCGAAAGGAAGGGGCTGTAAAGGGTGCGAGTGGAAGGGGCTGCAGGGGAGGGACTGTAGAGGATACGGGGGAATAGGGTGGATTAGAGGCTGTAGTAGGTGCAGAGGAGGGACAGACTGTAGTGGGTGCAAAGGGTAATAGGAGATGCAGTGGGAGCAGTTGGGTAGAGATGCAGTGGGAGCAGTTGGGTAGCCCACTAGCCACTACCAAAAGCGAAACCCTACTATTGCGCACAGTGCAGGGGGTAGGAGCTGCAGTGGGAGCAGCAGGTAAAAGCTGCAGTGGGAGCAGGGAGGTAGGGGATGCACTAGGAGCAGGGGGGTAGGGGATGCACTAGGAGCAGGGTGGTAGGGGATGCAGTGGGGGGTAGGGGATGCAGTGGGAGCAGGGTGTACGGGATGCACTGGGAGCAGGGGAGTGCAGGGATGCACTGGGAGCAGGGAGTGCAGGGATGCACTGGGGGCCGAGCAGGGGGTGCAGTGGGGCGGGGGGAGTACAGGGGGCACAGTGGGAGCAAGGGGGATGGGAGGTGGGGGCAGGGGATGCAGTGGGAGGGTAGGGATGCAGTGGGAGGGATGCACTGGGGCAAGGGGGTAGGGGATGCAGTGGGAGGGGGCTAGGGATGCAGTGGGAGGGTGGGGAGGGATGCAGTGGGAGCAAGGGGGGTGGGGATGCAGTGGGAGCAGGGGGGTAGGGGATGCATTGGGGTAGGGGATCTTGGGGGAGTGGAGGTGGTGGGGTAGGGGTTGCAGTGGGAGGGAGGGATGCAGTGGGAGCAGGGAGGTAGGGATGCAGTGGGAGGGTAGGGATGCAGTGGGAGCAAGGGGTAGAGGGGATGCATTGGGGGGGTAGGGGATGCGAGGTATATATAGAGATACAGGGTAGAAGATGCAGTGGGGTAGAAGATGCAGTGGGGGGTAGGGGTTGCAGTGGGAGGGGGGTAGGGGATGCAGTGGGAGCAGGGAGGTAGGGGATGCACTGGGAGTAAGGGGGGTATGGGCTCTGATGGGGCAGTAGTGGGGGAAATTATATAATAAAACATTTTAATTTAAAAAAAAAAAATAAAGCCCCCCTCCCAAACCTTACCTCTCTGGTGGTCCTCTTCTGAAGGAGGGCACACAATGCTGACATGCTGCCTGTAACTCTGCTCAGGGCAGCTCCTCACTCTGCACTGTGACTGCTGATGTCACTTCCTGCAGAACAAGCTGCACGGAGCTACCCTGAGCAGTTACAGGCAGCTCAGTGAGGCTGTGTTCAGTGAGACAGGCACACTGAGGGCAGCCTAGCGGGGTCTTTGGAAGGCCCCTTAGCTGTCCCTCAGTGTGCCCTGCAAGGGGGATTATATTTTTAGCAGCAGGGGCCCGCGGAAGGCTGTGCGGGCCCCTTACTGAGTGCAGGCTGGCTGGGGAGATTGTTTTACTCCCCAGCTCAGCCATTACTGCACTGCAGCAGGGGCGGGCCCCCCAGAGCCTCGGGCCCTCGGTCCATGACCGATTTGCCCGAGTGCTCAGTCCGCCCCTGCATAGAGATAAATTGAATCAGTGCATCTCTATAAGGAAAGTCCAGTGTCTGCAAGCAGAGGGTGGAGACACTGAATGGCAGTGCTGCACACTGTGTATCAGTGCCCCAGAAAGCAACTCTAGCAGCCATGAGGAGTGGCCAGTGAAGTTATCACTAAGCTGTAATGTAAACACTGCATTTTCTCTGAAAAGACAGTGTTTACAGCAAAAAGCCGGAAGGGAATGGTTCTACTCACCAGAACAAATGCAATAAGCTGTAGTTGTTCTGGTGACTATAGTGTCCCTTTAAATAATGACAGTCTCTGTGGTCTTCCCTGTTTCTGTGCAGGGATTGAAGCAGAGAAACCATAGAGACTAACTGTTGGTTTTCAAACCCAAGGTACATGTATATGGCTGAAAGATTCTGTTATATACTAAACGTAAGAATTAGTTTTTCTATTAATTTTTTATACATATACTTCAATTTAAAAAAAAAAAATTCCTTTCAAAACCTGACGAAAGGGTTATTATATTAAAAATAGTTTTTGAGGTGACAGTTGTCCTTTTAGATCTATTTTTACTGTAAATTCTCCTAGCAACCAATTTTTGCAAGGTATGAAATACATTTTCCCTTTATTATTGGAAAAATTATACCTCACTCTCCTTAGACTATAAATTTTGGACCTTCACTACCTTCTATTCTTCTACATGCAGCTTGGCTTATTGCACCTACTTGTGTGCTAGTCTACTATTTTTTTATTTTTTTTTGTCAATTGTTTTTTTTTTTGAGGCAAGTAAAAAGTACACAACAGGAAAAATAGTAATTATAGGCATACAATAGTGTCTAAGCATGAACATTTGCTAGAACATGGATGTTTTATTATTAAAAAGCCAAAGGAAATTAACTCCTTTGGCTTAGGAGCCTTATTTTAACGTACTATAAGATAGTCAGGCCTAGACATGTGCAATTAGTTTCGCTCCAAATGAAAATTCGGCCAAATTTCGGGCAATTCAGACATTCGGGTGCTTCCGAAAAGCTGAATTGCCCTAGTGCTGAATTGTCGAAGTCCTGAAGTCACGAAGTGCCAAAATTACCGAATTTCCGAAGTGTAGTAGTGCCGAAGTGCCGAAGTTGCCGAAGTTCCGAGGTGTCAAAGTGCTGAAGTTCCGAAGTTCCGAAGCACAGTATTGCCTAAGTACTAATATACTTACCCAGTGAAAGAAGAAGAACGTTACATTGTATACAATTTAAAAAAAAAAAGTATACAAACATAGCCAGGATTCAGCTGCAAGCATTTGCAATACTTACAACAATCAAGTAATGGCTGCTCACTGTTAAAAAAAAAAAAGAAAAAGAAAAGGTCCCCCCTCCTGAGCCCCCACCCACAACGTGCGAGTGGGGGCTTTTAAACTAAAGGGGGGACCAATTGTCCCCCCCCGAGTAGCAGGTGGGGGCCCTAAAGTAAAATAATGGGGGGGACCTATTGCCCCCCCACCCCCGGCCCCCACCCTTGAGAGGCGGTTGGGGGCCCTAAAGTGAAAAAAGGGGGGAGGACCTATTCTCCTCCCCCCTGACCCCCACCCCTGAGCGGTGGGTGGGGGCCCATATACAAATTGGGGGAGGGGGACCTAATGTCCTCCCCCTGCCCTCACCCCTGAGCGGCGGGTGGGGACCCTAAATACAAATTTAACTGTATAAATAAAAATAAACTTACCATTTGATGTTTTCTTTCTTCTAAAATCTTTTTTCAGCCGCAAAAAAGGCCAAATAAAAATCCATAATAACCGACACAATTAATCCATAATAACCAACTCGGTATAGCGAGTAAGGGGCAAAATTTACTAATACTAAGTAATTAAGACCTAAATTGGTCTTTCAGCCTTTTGGTAGATAACTCCCTAATACCGTGGGAATTAGGGAGTTATCTATCAAGTGGCTGCAAGAGAAGTGCCGAAGTTCCGAAGTAGCGAGGTTCCGAAGTGCTGAAGTGGCGAAGTTCTGAAGTGGCGAAGTTCCGAAGTTGCCGAAGTTCCGAAGTTGCTGAAGTGCCGAATTGACGAAGTCCCGAATTGACGAAGTCCCGAATTGACGAATGCCGAACCGAGCCGAATACTTTCCCCAGGCACATGCCTAGTCAGGCCATATTTCAGTCGAGTAGGCAGGCATAATTAGACATTAAGACAGACTGATCTGGGGCGTGTCCAACTTCCGGCAAGATCGGTCGCATGGAGTAGGAGCTCCGCACCACCCGGGCCAGATTATCTACCAAAGAGCTCAAAAAACTCAAAATCAAGTGGGAGGTGAAGTTCAAGAGTGTCCCTATGTCACCCTCGAAGCAAACAAAACTAACGGACGCGGTCCGACACCACAAAAAAGAACGGCAGAAACAGGCCCAAGATGGCACCGCTAGCAGAGCTCAGTCTCTGGAGCCTGACGCCTATAATGAGATGCCCTCACAGTTAACAGTGGATGACAGCCAAATATCGAAAGATTATTTAAAACAAATGCTCATGGACCTCAGAGCTACAATTAAAGAGGATTTTACTACAGCCATATTGGGTATACATCAGGAATTGGAGGATTTAGGAGACCGCACAGACCAGGTCGAACAAAAAACAGAAGACCTCTGCTCAGCGCATAATTTAATGGCTGACAAGCTACAGAAATTGGAAGACGACAACACAAAATTGTGGCACAAGATGGCGGACACGGAGGACCGATCCCGCCGAAACAATGTAACATTTCGGGGGGTCGCGGAATCCGTCACAACAGACCAGATCCCCACATTTATAACAGCTTTAAGCGCTACATTGGCCCCTGATTTATCCGGTATCACTTGGGAACTGGACAGGGCCCACCGCATACCTAAGCCATCCAGGTTCGGAGCGGAAGTCCCACGCGACATTATCGCTCGCTTCCATTACTTTAAAGCCAAAGAAGCACTTCTCAAAGCAGCCAGGGCTAAGTCACCACTGCCCGAACCATACAGCACCATCTCTATATACACCGACCTCTCGGCCCTTACAATGGCGAGACAGAAGGAATTCTCCTCTATCACCAAGACTTTACGCAACCATGATCAAGCTTGGGGGTTCCCCACAAAATTAATAATATGGAGGAACAACAAGCTCCACATCATAGACGACCCAATAGGAGGTCTATCCACACTGAAGCACTGGGGCCTATGGAACGCACCTGAAAAAGTTCAGTCAACAACGGATGCTGCGGCCACCCCGAAGAAGATCGGGCCTGAATGGCAGATGGTTGGCCTACAACACTAAGAAAGACATTGACAAAGACAACATCCCCCTGGATCCACATGACAACAAGTTCTACAACGTCGCACGAAGACATCTTAACTGACCGAAGCTGCACCCGCTCGGGACAGTAGCTAAATTGTCCACGGACTGGTTCTTGAAAATTTTACACCACAACCCAAGCCTACACGCTACCGCAGTGATGATGGTCGACGACCCCAGCTGACAAGAGTGGTATTGTATCGGGGGCCCACATCAGTGCAATAGTTTATCGGGACTGAAAGGGGGTAAGGAAAAAAGACAAAAAAAACCCATTTACATCCTAAGCATGGATGTCCCAGCCTTGTCCACCCCTTGATCGCCACTCTCTAGACGCCCACGCTTCCCCCATGCTGTTATTTACAGACCTGGCATGCACAGACGTTGGTCCCAAAAATGATGTGTTACATGCTTAGCTCTAACCGGAGTTATTACGCATTTGCCTACCAAAAATGTAGCCGGTTAGGAACTGTATATTATACATAAACTGCAAATGCCATTGGGGGTTAGATAACGTCCCCGCACTAAGATAAAATGTACTGTTACTAATGTTGGGCTCAAACGATACCGATAACCTTCTTACCACAGCTAAACTTCCAACACATACCACAGGCGGGGCCCTCGCCTGCCCCCTCACTAACGCCACGTAGCACTAGAATAGTTGGGACTTTTCCCATGGGTTGGAGATAAAGATTCGAGCAATGCTTGCAAATATATAAAAGACAAAAATAAATAAATACATTTTAAAAAAATACCCCTGACGCAGCACCCTAAGAATTCTGACCATGTCCTTTTATACTGCCTTCTCGGACCGTATTTGACAAAGGTGGGACTGTTGTCTATGTCCATAACTACCCCTGACATCTACCCATACCAGAGTTGTCTATTAACAGAATCTGGCCCGGGTGCGGTCCTGTTCCGCACGACCCCCCATAGGGAACTACAAGGGACATGGAGCTCCAAGGCTCCCCTTTGTATCCCATGCTATACTCTCAAGTTAGAGAGATATTGTATATACTTGTTTTTTTTAATCTCTGTATCCCATGTTTTAACCCTGTTAACCCCCTATCCAACACCCCGGCAGCTGCAACAACCTATAAATATACAAGATGTTGTCAGGCACCAGGGCACAATCAGTTTCACACTGCACCTCAGTTTATCATAGGGACCATACACGCTAAAGAAAAGTGTTCTCTATTAGATGTAAGGCCCCGAAAACTTGTACATTAAAAATGACGTACCAATTTAAATGTTTATCCATGAACGTAAATGGCCTGAACAGTTCATTCAAAAGAAGTTCTATGATTAAAGCTATGCACAATTCTCAGGCAGCCATAGTATGTCTCCAAGAGACACACATGTGTAAGAGAAATCCTCCCAAATTAATGTCCTCTAGAGACCAACAGGTGTTCCACGCCCTTTCATCAAACAAAACAAAAGGGGTAGCAATACTGTTCCATGTCTGGGTATTCCAACCCGACAAAACATATGTAGATGAGCAAGGCAGGCTCCTCGTAGTGGTGGGCTCACTGAACGGAATGCAACTCACGATTGCATCCATATATGCACCTAACAATTCCCAAACATCCTTCATAAAAAGGGCGTTAAATAAGATTACCAGCCTCCGTGTGGGACACACTATAATCTGTGGAGACCTAAATTGCACATTAGACCCCGAACTAGACATCAAGCGTATCGAGAGTAAACACCCTTTACAGCAAGCCAGCACTATAAGCGCTACTCTTAGCACACTGCTTCATACGTATGATTTCTATGACACATGGCGCACTCTTTACCCGAAGGAGAAAAACTACACCTATTTCTCACGGGTACACCACACTTACACTCGTATAGACACGTGTTGGGTAGATAAGAACACAATACCAAATGTTATAGAAGTGCAAATAGGTGACAGGACATGGTCTGACCATGCGCCAGTAATCACTACGTTCAGAGCCATGTACCCAGCTCGAGGGCGCAGTGCATGGCGCCTGAACGAATCCCTCATATATAACGTGAACACAGCCGCCAAAATTCGCGCAAACATAACATCATTCTATGAGATCCACCAAACGGATCCCTCACGCATAGACACTAAATGGCTGGCCCTCAAAGCCGTACTAAGAGGCCTTCTAATCCAAGCAGGAGTGATAAATAAGCAGAAGATTTACAACGAAACAGATAAACTGCTCTCACAACTCAAAACATTAGACAGGGACAACAAACTAAAACCAACTAGAACCTTATCCCAACAAATTGAAAAGATAAGAGAAAGGCTACATGCACTGTCCCTGATAAATATGGAAAGGCAGCTTCGCAAGTTGAAACTCTCCTACTACATGCAAGGAAACAAGGCAGGCAAATTGCTCGCAAAACGTCTAAAATCCCGATACATACAATCCAAACTCCCATATATGACATCAGCCACAGGGTCAAAACTATTTAACCCACAAGACATAGTGAACGAATTGGTGAATTTCTACACTGGTCTATACAATCTTACACAGGACAAAACACTACACCAACCACTAAAGTCGGAAATAGACATCTTTCTGAAAGAGGTGCAATTGCCACGCCTGACCACCCAACAAAGCTCGATACTGTCAGCTAAATTCACAGAAAAAGAAGTACGAAACGCAATACACAAATTACCCAAACATAAATCCCCGGGCCCGGATGGGTTCCCTAACACTTTTACTCCACATTCGAGGCACAGCTCACACCATACCTCACAGACCTTTTTAACTCCTTTAGGGACTCAGAATCCATGCCGGAGGAGATGCTGCTAGCCCATATTGTTACACTCCCTAAACCTGGCAAACCTCCCACTGAATGTGCTAACCTGAGACCCATCTCACTGCTGAATGCAGACACAAAATTATATGCCAAATTACTAGCTACACGTCTCCAACCCTTCCTACAAGATTTGGTCTCTCCAGAACAGGCAGGTTTTGTTCCGAACAGGCAGCCTGGGGATAATACACAACACTTCTTGAACTTAATCACATGGGCTCAGAAAACTAACCAGAGAGGCGTACTGTTAGCCCTAGACGCAGAAAAAGCGTTTGATCGCTTAAATTGGGCATACATGAGGGCTGTATTGACATCTATGGGCATCCCCCCGGAATTCCTGAAAGGCATAATGGCCCTCTACTCCAAACCGGCAGCCAGAATATTTAACTCTGGGTTTTTATCCCAACCTTTTCAAATAAACGGTTCCAGGCAGGGGTGTCCTCTCTCTCCATTAATCTTTATTTTATGTATGGAACCCTCTTCGCGGATGATGTTCTCCTATTTTTAACACACCCGGAGAAGTCTTTACCAAACTTGCTAGCTCTATTAGGGAATTACGGGAGGATGTCTTACTATAACAACAACGACAAAAAAACACAAGCGCTGGCGATGGGGCTGACACATGCCTCTCTATCACACCTGAAAACATTGTACCCATTTGAGTGGCGGAACACCTCCATCTCCTATCTGGGCAGAAAATTGCCAGCAATGCACTCGGCGATAATATGGGAAAACCATATACCGCTTATTCACAGACTGGAACAACAACTTAAGACCTGGGAGGATAAAGAGATTTCCTGGCTGGGGCGAATCCACACCATAAAAATGATGATTTTACCACATATCTTAAACTTATTCCGCACCCTACCCATTACAATCCCAAACCCAATTCTAAAGAACTTTCAGGCTATAATTAATGCACACATTTGGAAACGGAAACCCCTAAGAATAGCGCAAAATTCACTTTGGCGACCGTTCACAAAAGGAAGGCTGGGCATACCTAATATAAAACTATACTACAAAGCGGCATTGTTGGCACAAGGCCTTACAATCCTTGAGCGGTCATCTCCTCCAGTATGGCTAGCGTTAGAGAACGCTTGCTTACCCACTGGCACGATTCCTCTGATCCTTTGGGCAGGAACAAAACTCCCCAAGTCCAAAACTTTGCTACCTGCCACGGAATCGCTGCTCCAAACTTGGAAGCAAGCTACCCCACTATTTTTATGAGAAAATGACCTGCTCCTTGCAGCGCCACTTAAGGCCCTGGCTGCTCGAACGACAAACATGCAACTAGACAACTGGCTTAAACAAGGGGTCTATCATGTACGCTCCTTACTGACCTCAGAAGGCATCAAACCATTCCCAGACTTAATCAGGGAATACCATATCCCTCCACGGGAATTATTCTCTTATCTAGAATAAGAAATATAATACAGGAGTGCAGGATTAGCCTGAAGGAACCCAATCTCTTACCACCATTTATCCACAAATGCATGGGTAAACTACCTAAAATAAAAGCAATGTCCCTATGCTACAATACACTCCTACTTCAAAATAAAATAACAAAACCCTCGTATATGACTAAATGGGAATCGGAGATAGGGACGCAATTCCCAATAGCAACATGGCATCACGCTCAAAAGAAAACAAAACAGGCCTCCCATAGTCTTAACCAATGGGAAACGTTCTGTAAACCAACGATGCGCTGGTACCTAGTCCCTACCAAACTGGCACATATTTACCCAGGGTCAAACAAACAATGTTGGAGATGTCACAATCAAGAGGGGTCCCTCTACCATATATTCTGGACATGCACACAGATCACTACGTTGTGGCGGGATATACAAACACTTCTTTATAAAAACCTGGGAATAAAGGTACCAATGACCCCAGAATGCTTTCTATTACATATCTTCCCAGACACCCTCCCTGAAGATAAGAGTTACCTAAAGATTCACTGTTTAATGGCTACCAAAACTGCAATTGCCCACCGTTGGAAGACCACACTGGCTCCAACACTACCAGAGATCCTAGGTAGAATAGACTCGACACATACATATGAACGCATGGCTAGCCGACTAAACGCTAGTCAAAGCAGACACGAGACACGGTGGCACAGATGGGTGGAATATAGATATGGAGTGTCCCAATAGGGGCTGTAGGCCATACATTGCATCTCCAAGGCTACCTCCTGCGTTGAGTAATCGAGCACAATACGTCCCACCAAGACGGTTTCTATGGCATGAAGCACCATCGTCGCCCCACTCCCCTCCACCTTTCCCCCCTACCCAGTTAGGGCTAAAGGCACCAAGCTAGCACCAGGGAACAGGTCCCAGCATAAAACTGCATAAAACTGCATAAAAACTGTTTATCTGTATCATTATTATTGCTATGTAACATATTGGACAAAATGCCAACTGTCACTTTTATCTTAACCTGTTAACAAAGTGTGTATCGACGCATTTGTAAAGATTGATGTAAGTTATGTAAGCTGTCTCCCCCTTCCCCTCTTTCTTTCTGTACCCACATTATTGCTTTGTTTTTTGTTTTTTTCTCCCCTCCTTTGTTCCTTCGTGAACAATTTAAAATGAAAATAAAACACATTGAAAAAAAAAAAAAAGACAGACTGATCTAACTAGTAGTTCGAATAGGAGTAATAAAACTTAAAACATAAAGCATAAAACAGAAATCATATAACGTAAGTCATAAGTGTCATATATGAAGAATCCAAATTTTACAAGTGGTGCTTGGGGGTTACCAGCTGAGATTTTTATGGTGTCTGCATGTTGTTCATGTATGCAGAGTCTGCAATCCCATGCTTTACCAGCACCTAGCAATCTGTTTACATTCATCATATGAGATGTAGGTATAATGACACAACTCTTGACAATGACTACTCATTCATTGCACCTTCTTGGTTGGTGAAGTGCTCATTAGTGGATTTTCCATCTTAGAGGCACAGTTGTTTTATCATGTTATGTATTTCGTCTACATTCAAAATACTCTATAATTGTATTCCAACACTCTTTGTACTTAGAAGTGATGTTAAATACACACTGTACTTTCTATACACTTTACTACTTACTGTTCTATGTGCGTATTTTGATCGAAATGCAAATAAAAAAATAAATAAAATATGTTGATAGTTTAAAAAAAAAAAAAAGAACAAGTAAAGTAGCTTAATCCATAACCGACTTTTGTGGGAAAAATAGCACATGTGACAATTACAATTTAAAAGAAACCTACACTCCATGGGGAGGAAGGGGATAATATTGTCTCTCTACTTGTTTAGCATGCTAGCAATTGGCCAATTTCCTCATCCATTTCTTTAATTCAGTATTTGTAGAGTTGACAAGAAACAAACAAACAAACTGAATAGGTCCAAATAAATATGGACAATACTGGTTTGGATCAACATATACAGGGTCAATACAAACTGCTATGTGCTAACCTGTTCATTAGCAGGAATATACAACAGACACGGTTCGCCGAACGGTTCGCCACGGACCGTTCGCGAACCGTTCGGCGAACTGTTCAGGACATCACTAATCACCTATTGAGACTAGAAGAAGGTGCTTCCACTTACAGTAGAGGAAAGTTTTTTTCACAGTAAGAACAATAAAGATGTGGAGTTATCTGCCTAAAGAGGTTATCTTATCAGATTCTATAGATATTAAAAAATATATATATGTGCACATACTTTTTTGCATAAACGGAATATTCAATGATACAAGTGATATTAATGTAAACAGGTGGCTGATCCAAGGATAAATCTGGTTGCCATTATGGAGTCAAGAAGGATGTTTCCTTTTTGTGGCATAATTGGAAATGGCTACAATTGGGTTTTTTGCCTTCTTTTGGATTAACAATATAAAATAATGGCTTCCAAGGTTGAACTTGATGGACTTTTTTCAACCTAGACAACTAATGTGATACAAAAACAGAATACAATTTGAATACATTTCCAATATTGTTAATAGCAAACAGTATTTTTTTTTTTGTATACTGAACAAAAATCTCATTCTTCCTTTTTAAATTATACACAATGACATGTAAGTTGCAAGGGCATGTTACCAGTATTTTCCTGCCATAAAACAATAACAGTTATCATATACAAACAGCATGCTCCTTATCTCGCTCTGAATCTGTACTGCTCGATTAGTGTAATCCTCATCAAATGTGGATTTAACATGTAGTATGTACAGGGATCATAAAGTTCATGCAATATATGATTGATTAATATAGAATGGATAAGAAGCACTGTCAGCATATACCAGCCTATAACAAAATATACAAAATATAACTGATTTGGATATGATCCCACTGCTCTTTACAATAAACCCTTCCAACAGCAGTTGTTAGAGATGGAACTTCCCAAATTTGATCTCCTGCCCTGTTGTGACAGATTCCCTGATGACAGGTTCCTGTGGGCACAAGGGGAATATCCCCAATCACTGTAGTGTCAGCGCTTCAAAAGATGCATTTGCAATATACAAAATACCGCTACTAGGGCAAGCAAAATAAATAATAAAATTAACAACAAAAAACCCTGTACTGTTCAGTGCAATAAAGGGGCAGACCAGGCTGAGGTTAACCCATTCTGAGTTCTGTATTATTTCTTTTATCTTGGTAAGTGTATCCAGTGGTAAATTAATTTAGCAACAGGGCTGTAGTGGTCATGGTCATAGGAGTACCCTGATGCCATTCCCCAGAAATAGGAAAAAACACTTTGCAATAGATTACCTTTTATGAGGGTGCCAAGCCTCCCTCAATTGCAGATGAACTGCAAACAGAAACCGTATGCTAATCCTGCTGTTCATTCATTGGCTGACAGCATCAGCTGAGTGCTCACTCTCAGCCAATGAATAGCCTTCTGTGTACAGTAATATGCAAGGAATTAACAACGCATCACTGGCTGATCCGGGCACGTGGTCACTTGCGCCACCCAGGGTCACCTGTTCTCCTTGTTCTAGTAATTGTGTTATTAATTCTGACTCCTGGCCTGACTCTTTATTTTTTATTATTTTTTTGCAAGGAAATAGTGCTCATCTTTGAACGCCACAACAGTGTACACAGATACATAAAGGCTAAACAGTGGCGTGGGAACTGCACATTTTTTTGTTATATGAACAAGCGTTACTTAACTTACATGTCACATAGGTGAGTAAATTGGTAGTCAAGAATAGAGAGACATGAATACGGTTATATGATATATTGAGTAGAGTAAAACATTTATGCGTCAGGCTAGGTCATGTAGTTAAGAGTTAGGAGTTAAGAAAGAAAGAATAACAGCGCTTGTGACCCAAAGCCAGTAAGGTGGGTGCGACAGGTAACAACTGGCACAACAAGACCGCAAGGTATAAATCACGAGGATAACAAAAAACTAAAAAATGCAGCGCTCACAATAAATAATAATAATTTAATAATCACCTTTGGAATAATGAAACTTTGCACCTCGTTACCATACAGGTAATATATCAGATGGAATAGAAACCTATAAATACAAATAATACATCATAGTGCAGATTATACAAATACAGGGTTCGTATAGAAAATAGGAATCATACGAACTCACAAACATAGAGCTAAAAACCTAGCTCTGGTGTGGATAGCGTCCGGGTCCGTACAGGCTAACCACCCCTACAAGGAATATTCATTCCATCCTATGTAGACTCTATGTATGTAAGTACCCACTTGGGAGCCTGATTTTATATTTATCTCCCATCTACTGTGCTACCCTATGTTTGCGTTTTATATATCTTTCCTAGGACGGAACGCATATTCCCTGTAGGGGTGGGTCGCCTGTACCTAACGGGGTGCCTGCATGGTATTGATGACCCCCAGGTTCCGGTTCAGGGGATCGGCCTCCTCCCCCTTCTGGCTCCCATTAGGCCGTATATGCCGGAGTGGAGCTAGTTAACTCTGGTCGAGTCGGTGATTGCCTTCCCTTGTGTCAGGTAAGTCAAGCATCAGGGACTACTGTTCTCCTGTTGCAAATCAAGTTGTTAAGCTGTAATAAGCTTTTTTTATTGAGATTTTGGAGGAGTTCATACAAGATGCGTCTTTCCTCCCTGCCCCCTCCTGGCTACTAGCTTGCCCCGGGCCCAAGTCTACTTTATTTGGAGAAACATTGCTTCTCTAGGGTCTGACCCCAGGCCTGACTTAATCCAGCCTCTGGACCTCCTGTATATTGACTCAGCCTGACCTTACACACTGATTCAGGATTTGCCTTGGTACTGTCACAGGTGTCCTACTGCCTAACCTTACACTGTGTATGTGCAGCCTTTCACAATGAAATTCTGCACAAACCCCAACCACAATCACCACTTCAAAACAGTGATGTGGTCATAAATAAGATGGCAAAACACACAAGCATTTGGACTAACCTTTAAGTCCTTAAATGAGGAATATGAATATGAATGTTTTTCAGTATGTGATGAAATCTAATTAATCCCCCACAAAACACCTTTTGAACATGAATCATATTTTATTTGAATATGGTCACAGAATATAACAATGTGTAGCTACAACAAAATAAATTCCTGTAGATGACAGTAGTAGATGGATTCTAGAACAGTATCTCATCCCGGCAAAATCCCTTAAATGCCCTCCTATGATATAGCAATTAGTGTGGAGTTGGGTCGGAGCTTGCCATTTTTGTATAGTGTGTAAAGTGACTGTGCATGTAACGGAGTATGTAAAATGTACACAATTCTGTTGGATCATTCTAAATAAACCTATTGTTAATCCCATAATTTGTTCTATTGCTCTGAATTGGTTTACTAGGTTTCTATCTCTAACTAATCTGTCATTAAAACCTTTATCATGCTAATTAGCATTAGCGTAAGCAAAGCATCCATTACCAACTGGATTTACCAAATCTGCTTAAACGCTGCCAAGCAGAGAGATACCATAAAACGACAGTGTAATCCTTAAAGATGCCTGTGACCTCCAGACTATAAATTGTATTTATACAGCACTGGACTTGGTAGGGGACTAATAGAGCTGCTAGATTTATTATAATAATGGAATAATGAAGTAATTCTACTCATCATTCATTTCCTTTCATGCAAGCATTATATTACAGAGTGCATAAGAGAGAGCATACACGTGCAGGGTTATTATCTAAAATTAGAATTGTCTAGAATGCAAAGTGAATTTGAAATTTAATGTCAAAATAGCCAAATTAGAGAAATTCTGTAAGTCGGCTATGCTTCCATTTCGGCTATTTGATCTAAAATTTGAAATTCACTTTGAATTCTCTTTGAACTTCTGACAATTCTCATTTTAGTAAAAGTAAAAAAAATTCTTCAGGCACTCACGGACTTAAAGCCATAGGCAGATTTACTGGATCAGGAAAACAAAGCAACGTTCCGTCCTATAAATAGGTCTTTATAAAGCTATTGCTTCTCACTGTATATTACTCACTGGCCCCTGCTCTTGCACTTTTATGGAGCCATGAATTGCAGGTTTAACCTTTTGTCCAATGGCCAAGTTTTTACCCTCAGGATTGCTGCAGCGCCTGCCCCTGGTCACTAAGGGATCTGCAGGGGTCATCTTTGGAGAGGCACCATTTCATGCAGCCTTCAGATGAGAAAGGCGGACCTCCTCTGGGACAGGGAACCAGGAGGATTGCAGGTAAGACTAAAGAGAAACCTCAGCATCCATAGGGAATATGGACATTAAAATAACTGGGGGGAGGGATATTTAATTCATCATAATTTGATTGTTTCTGTCCATAGGCTGGGAAATATAGATTTAGAGATTGGTGGGAGGACATTAACCCTATCGTGAATGCTGCCAGGCCATTGCACTCACATCTCTTGGGGTACTTGCTTTGGTGCAGTCAGTGGCCAGAAATGTAAACAACAAAATGGAGAGCACCCAGAGGGGATAAATTGGGGAAAAAAACGAATTATAGTTATGTTTTTTAAACCGCAGTGCACAAGGTTGCATATCAGCCACAACATTTCAGTCCATAAATAGAGATGAAGTTGTTTTGGTGCACGATTGTTTCTCTAGTGATTAACCCCTTAAGGACACATGACATGTGTGGCATGTCATGATTCCCTTTTATTCCAGAAGTTTGGTCCTGGAATATATGAATATTATATGTGAGGTTTGCTATTATCCTGTTATCATTCCAATTTATTCTATATCTCTTTCTCCTAATGAATGAAAACTGCTATGCAACAGCCACAACCTTTATTTCCAGAATTATATCATTCAGACTTTTCTGCACACTCACGTGTGGCTGATAACGTTCTAAGAATAAAATACACTTAATTCATTCCCATAACAGATTCACTGTGCAATCATCAAGGCAGCTTGAACTAATCAGCAATATACTGTGTTTGCCTGCCAACACAACACAACTGTAAGAATATTTTAGAAGCATTTGTCTTTCACATGCAGTGCAAAAGTTGCCTTTAGCAATCTGTGCCTCCTGTTTAATCCTGGTACTCGGAACCTGACATGGCTTCACTTAATGTCATAATGCTAGTATAAAGGACCTTAAATTGTACTGTGTACTGTAAATGGCAGCATCCCCGAAGAACACTTATTAATATAATCCTTACACTCTTTATAGCTATCAAGTGTTTAGAAGCAGGGCTGGCTCCGTTTATGTACTGTATATGTTGGCACTTTATAAATAATAATAATAATAATAATATAGACATCTGTAGAGAGATATAGAGTACCAGTGTAGCTAAATAACATAAACGCAGTCATAACAGAGACAGCATCAAATTAACAACAGACATTTGCTAATTGAGTATGTCTCTCCAGTAGAATTATAAAATACATTTATCTGTAATGACCATAACCGTCCATCAAATATATTTTTATAAAATAGAAATACATGTCTTTTTTTGACATCTTTATACAATCGAATTGCCTCTAATCTTGTCATCATGTTAATGTTATATATCATTGGTGTTAGATTGGTTCAAAGCTATCTTTAAACAAATACATACATTACAATTATCTGAGAATTGACACAGCTGTCATGTCTTATCAGTTGGGCTGAGCAAAAAGAAAAAAGGGTTTGGTGCCCCCTGTGCTCTGCTCTTGAAATGCACAAAGTCATGGTGGACTTAAAAGAATAGATCATTGCTTTTGTTTATAAAACAATAAAATGCCAGTAAAGTATTTTTTTCTAACCATTAACTGATATTTAATTTTTTTTCATGTTTAATCCATTCACCTCACCTGCAGATATATTTATGGCAACAGTAGGACACAGTCAACAGATTTGTATCTTCACATTTACATAATTTAGAAAAGCAGCCTTTGCTCCTGACACTCAGCAAAGAGGCCTCCCTCACATTGTATTGGTTATTGTAACGGTTCACCTGGCACCCCGACTGGGTACCTCCGTTGAAGGATGCTCCTAGTGCTTCCTGAGGGCTCCAAGCACTCCAGCCAACACCATAACCACTGTAGACTCCTCCAGAGAGCAAGACAGGAACAGGCTCTTACAAGAGCTTAGTAGTGATATAGCAAGGGAGTATGACTAGCATAGCAATCCCTTGTATCAGATTCCCCCAGTAACGAGACAACACTTCGTTTTAAAGGGGCCAAGCAGAACATATTTACTGGCACCAAAAGAACCTTCTTTTATGCAGGTCTCCCTTAGATAGGATCACCCTAATAGATCAACCAATCATACACGTATATTACAGAAACACTCCCAGCAATTACATACAAAAATCCTCCCCTCTGCCTGTGATCTAATTATGGTACACAATGGTTTAACATAATTAACACAGGCAGTAAAAATACAGTTTTTATACATATCCTGTAACTTTAGAACCATACATCCAATCTTCATAAAAATCCATATTTGGAATCAGCAACCTTCAAATACAAACATAACCAAAAATCATCCAAATCCATCCAGGGGTTAAAAAGTTAGCTTGAGGTCCCTTTATGACCAACCGCAAGCACGTTTTCCTGCCCAAAACAGTTCCATAGATTTGGGCTGTGCGGTCGGTCTATTTCAGGCTGAAAAAACGACTAAGTCCCATCGCCGAATGGGACTTAGTCTCTGCGGCTGTAAACTCATTGTGGGAGAAGGTAGGGCTCAGCGGTGTTCGCGGAAATGTGTAGCCGATTTTAGTTCCATGAATTTGGCTACACATACCGCTGACCTCGTGCGAATGAACAAAGATGGCCGCCGCCACGTGTTCGGCAAACGAACAAAGGCCACCCAGCATTGTCAATTAAGCTGCGGTTAACCGCAGCTTCTGGGAGGTAAATTGCCGACACACTCCCAATACAGGTGGTCCGCCTGTGTGGTACTTGGTTCAGTAAGCCCCATTTACTGAACCAAGTGAGAAATAGCCAGGAACAAAGGGTTTTAACCAGGTCTGGGGACACTGGGGACACCGTCTTATAGGGGCAGTGTCCCAAACAAGTCTGGGGACACCGTCTTAAAGAGGCAGTGTCCCAATTTTCCCTATGCCCCAAAAAGGTGCTTAAAGGGCCAGCACCAGTCCCATAAAACGTACATAATCCCCAATATGCCCACCGACTGTCTTAAAGGGCCATACACACCCAATAAAAGTCCATAAGGTTTCACAGTCTCCCAGGGGCCATAGTCTAAAGGCAGCAGGCGAGCAACCAGGCTTCTCCAGTGAATAGTGGCGAGGTTGGTTCCGCCACAGTTATCTTCACAGATGCTAAGCCATTGTTGTGCCAGGACTGAACTGAACTGTTATTTCAATTGTGCTATCTTTAACCCTTTGCGGTCCTATGTCGGAATATATCCAACAAAATATTTTACGTCTTGTGGTCCAATAACAGCTTTTCCCTGGAGCGTACTACTGATCCTCGCGGGATGCTGCGAATGTGCACAGGGTTAATATGTATTTGTAAATAAAATAGATCAATGCATTAAAAGTTAGCACACATTTCTAGTGTTTAAATCTGTTTATCTTTATTTAGTTTGACTTAGAGAAGAAGGTTCACTGATTAATGTTTGTTTGCTATATATGTGTATAGTTGGAGAAAACAGGTAAAAAACTGTACCACTGTGTATCTGGTTGCCATGTTCACCGCCAGTACTCACCTATCCCAGGGGGCCTGCGATGGCCTGGAGGTCAGTCCCAGTGGTCCTGACTTCCGTGGATCCTGCATGCTGGCCACCACCTCTGTTGCTTGGTGCATGACTGGGGAACTCATGACGTCGCTTCATCTCCACAAGACGGCACCGCCATGCTGAGAGACCAGCCGGAATGTTGGAAGACAGGGATGGTGTGACTGGACGTGGAATCCATGCCACCACTAGCCTTTTAGTGCCTTGCCATCATCTCCAGTGGGTCATGCTTATAAGAGAGAGCGGTTCTACTGCCCTGAGTTCCAAAATCCAACATTGCCCATGTGGGTCATCACACTGGTATAGTGTAAGGAGTTTGTAGTATTCACATAATAATTCAAAGACAGATATAGTGAGAGAGTTAAGATGTTTAAGTTGAACTATTTTAAGCATTTTTAGGTGCACTGGTATGCATGTGGAATGCAGACACTTTTGATGGCCTTCAAGATTAAATTCATACAGGGTTTTTATGTATGTGTCCCTCACTAAACGTCATGTAGCACTTTAAATGGTTGTTATTTTTCTGGTCCTGTTGCTGTCTATGGCAGAACATCTACTGGTTAATGCATATGTTTGAGTGTGTGCCTTGTGGTTAGAACCGAACAATTAAACTGAGTCTCAAACATTTGGGCAGCTTTTTTGTGCTTGCACTTTCGCAACTTATGAACCCAGAACCACACAATTACAGTGTAAAATTTATTTAATTGTGACTTGACGAGGTGGATTCTGTTAGCCTTACATCATCTAGTACATGTAAAAACCTTGCATGTTCTATATAATCCAGAGATAGATAGGCAGAGTGCTAATGATTCTAAGCATGGCTCTACCCCATCTTACCATAAAATAAAGTTTTGGTTGACATCTGGACTAAGAAGAAAGTATGTACTATAGCTGCTTTGCGAACTTAGACTTCATAGAACTTGGAAAGAAAGGAAGCTAATGTAAATTTATCATTTGCTTCACTACCTCATGAAAAGTATAAGGACCAGGGTATACTTCCTCATTTAGAACATTTGGAATTACTGGGCAACACCAAAACCATCAAAGCCTCAAAGCGTAAACGACAATACCATAATGGGATATTGTAGCATATTGCAACATCAAAGATATAGTGATATGGAAGACGTCACAGGGATTTCTCCAACTGTTTGCAAACAGAAGTATGTTGAGAGACGAAAAAGATGTTTATGTGATGTTGAAGATGACGATTGAGATCTCTATGTCAGAAATGATTCCAGAGAACTGAAACAGAATAGTACAGGACTAATACAATTCAAGACAGATAACGATGCAAGGTTACAATAACTTTCACAGAAACATTAACAGGTGAGCGAGAAACGCAATAACAACCGCACACAGCCAACTCGAAAGACGACATACTACTGACAAATACCTTGAACTGAGTAAGGGTGACCTACAAATCTGCAACTGACTGTCATAAATATGATACTCACCTTGCCTAAGAGACCTGCGGGTCTCACTTATTGCCGCTCCACTAGAGATCTGCGCATCTCAAAATGCTGAATGCTGCTTCACATATTGGAAACCTGCGTGTTTCACACTGCACACAGACTGAATGCTTGTTGAATACTAGACAAAACTTCAATAAAATGATATTTACAAAAAAAATAGATAAATAACTTTCACAGAAACAGATGGTTTAACAGATTTCCTTTACAAAGATGTGTCTTTAACCCCTTAAGGACCAAACTTCTGGAATAAAAGGGAATCATGACATGTCACACATGTCATGTGTCCTTAAAACATCTAAACTGGTTAATAATTGCTTGCTCTCTCTCTCTCTCTCTCTCTCTCTCCTTCTCTCTCTGTATATAGATATGCATATCTGAAATTAAGTAAGTCAGTTTGAAGGGTGTCTACCAAACCAAATCATGGAATATCACCAATATATCTATATACATAACGACCCAAAAAAAATTCCAGAATTCAGTGTTTCTTAAATGTAATTCTTTGTTACTAATTAAAGGAAACAGCACTGCATAATGTGCCATATGTCTATCCTTTACCCATCTTTGTGAACAGTTGAGTCATAACATGTTCTATGGGACATACTTGAAAACAAGAGGTGTTTCAATATATTCTTTTTGTAAACCATAAACATGTTAAATATACTTGTGATAATGTGAAATGCAGAGAATTTTTTAGCAATAGGTGGTTTAATCACTAAATTCTGAATTGCTATGAATTAAAATCTGAATGTCAAAATTAAGCTCAGTAGGAGATTTTGTCCATATCAAAATGTTTGCTTAAAATGAAAATTACTCATATTACATTCCTTAGTATCTAAAAATTTCCACTTGCACAAATTGAATCACAAAATACACATGATATAAAATCACATTAAAAGGGACAAAATGAGCATTTATTTGAGCTAAAAATAAAATGCTATAGAATAAAACAAATAGATAGGTGAACAGCACTAGGAATATAAATACATACATACAAAAGATGGCAGTAGTTTTCACAATTGTGTGTCTTAAAAAAAGAAGATACAATAATAGTGCAGCATGCAATGGTAATAGTGATAAATATAATACTTGGTGCCAAAGGAACACTCACGCTTTTTAGAGCTTTATAAGCTCTATTTAAGGAGCCTGGACGGAATAATCCCCGTCTATGGATTTCTTTGTGATGGTACAGCACTGTGTGGTTCTCAAAAGGGTTCATCATATGAAAAAGATAAAGATGGTACAGTATGTATGTGGATATTGAATAGGTAAAAAATAGACCTACTTACATCTACTAGAGCAATGACCTGCTCTAGTATATGGAGCCTAAGGTGGAACAATCCCACCTAGGGATATGTGTGGACCCGTAGCAGCAGAAAGATAAGAGTATGAGGTACACTATATGACTGGATAATAAAAACAATCTTTATTTGTAAGTAAAAAAAATAGTAGAAAAAACTATGTAAAACTATACTTAAAAAGTGAACTATAAATAAAAGCCAGTCCTTGAGTATTGACCTCAGTCTCCACTTGACGCGTTTCTCTTGCAGCCAGGGCCGGACTGGGAATTAAAAGCAGCCCTGGAAAAAAAATATTTACCAGCCCCATAATGCGTCGCGCCAGCATAGTGTGCAGATACAGAGTTAGAACAGATAACTTAAAATTAAAAAGTACTTCAACGTAAAAAGCGCACTCATAGGCTTCAAAATAAACAAAAGTGCAGATTTATTTTAAGCAGACGTGCCTTTGCATGTAATCAATATTTCAGTCCAACTACCTTGACATATTAAGGAAAGCTTGTTAATGGGACTGAAATGGTGAATGTATGTAGGGCACAACTGTAAAAATGTTTATTTTGAAGTCCTGTGGGTGTGCTCTTCACTTTAAATATGTTATTGTGCTGGAGTATGCACCTAGCAACAAGACTGGGCCAATATCTGCTCATTACATATGGTACATATTAATGAAATTTCTCTGTGTATTATGCATATATAAATGTACATTAATATGTGTAAATATAATATAATATATATATATATATATATATATAACGAATATACACATTAATATACATGTCATATACCAGTGACGGATCCAGAACCTGAGCCTGGGAGGGGCACTTGTAGATTATTTAAAGAAATATTCCATGCACAATAACCACTACTCCTCTGTGTAGTGGTTATGGTGCCAGGAGTGTCAGCACCCCCTCCCAGAGTAAGTAGTCAAACCATTTAAGAACAGTTTGAAAACTTACCTGGAGTCTGCTGGGATATGGGGCTGTAGTAGGGTATAGGAGCAGTGGTGCAATGTGTGTGAAAGGTTCAGTGTGTGGGTGTGGGGGGCAGTGTGTGAATGTGTATGGTGTGTGTGTGTGGGGGCAGTGTGTGAATGTGTATGTGTGTGTGTGGGCAGTGTGTGTGTGGGCAGTGTGTGTATGGGGCTAGAGTTCACTCCTACTACTGCGACCACCAGGAAGTGGTGAGAGTGAACTCTAGCCCGTAGCTCCAGGGCTAGAGTTCACCCTTGTGAAAGCCGGAGCGTTGCCCCGGGTCCTCTCTTTCTCCCCCTCACTGCTCCTCTGTGTCAATGTCTCCCCTCTCCTTCCCAGTCTCTCTCTTCCCCCTCTGCCTCTTTCTTCCCCTCCCCTTGTGTGTCTCTCTCATTTCTCCCTCTTTGTCTCTCTCTCCCTCCTCCCCATCTCTCTCCCTCCCCCCTTTTCCCTGTGTCTCTCCCTCCTCCCCATCTCTCTCCCTCCCCCCTTTCCCTGTGTCTCTCCCTCCAACCCATCTCTCTCCCTCCCCCCTTTCCCTGTGTCTCTCCCTCCAACCCATGTCTCTCCCCATCTCTCTCTTCCTCCAACCCATCTATCCCCCCCTTTCCCTGTGTCTCTCCCCTCTCCCCATCTCTCTCCCTCCCCCTTTCCCTGTGTCTCTCCCTCCTCCCCATCTCTCTCCCAACCTCCTTTCCCGGTGTCTCTCCCCTTCTCCCCATTTCTCTCCCTCCCCCTTCTGTGTCTCTCCCCATCTCTCCTCCCCCCCTTTCCCTGTATCCTCCCTCCCTCCCCCCTTTTTTCCCTGTGTCTCTCTCTTCTCCCATCTCTCTCCCACTCCCCCCTTTTTCATGTGTCTCCCTCCTCCCCATCCTCTCTCCCTCCCCCCCCTTTCGCCTGTCTCTCCTCCCCCATCTTTCCCTCCCCTCTCTCCCCATCTACTCTTCCTCCCCCACCTATGTCCTCCCCTCCCCATCTCTCTCCTCTTCCCTCTGTCTCTGCCCTCTCCCTCCCTCCCCCCCTGCTCCCCACTGTGTCTCCCATCTCCCTCCCCTGTGTCCTCCCTCTCCTCCCTCCCCTGTGTTTCCTCCCCTTTTCCTGTCTCCTCCCTCTCCCTCCCTCCCCTTCCCTGTCTCTCCCTCTCCCTCCCCTTTCCCTGTGTCTCTCCCTTCTCCCTCCCCCCATCCTGTCTCTCTGCTTCCTCACTCCCCCTGTCTCCTCCCCTCTCCCTCCCTCCCCTTTCCTGTGTCCTCTCTCACTGTGTCTCCTTCTCCCTCCCCCCCTTTCCCTGTCTCCTCCCCTCTCCCTCCCCCCTTTCCTGTGTCTCTCCCTCCCCTTTCCTGTCTCCCCTCTCCCTCCCAGCACCACCATGTCCCTTCCTCCTCCCTCCCCCTGTCTCTCCCTCCCTCCCTCCCACCTCTCTCTATTCCCTCACCTTCCCCCCCAATTACCTTAGAGCCAGGGGGCCGGCCGTTCAGACTGGAGCCGCCCGGGGCGGGTGGCAGCCATGAGTCCACTGGCACTCAGGTCTGGGTTTCGCCTGTGAAGTGGGAGGGAGGGCCTGTCTACCCGCCACCCGCGAGGGGCGGGCAGACGGCTCCTCCTCCTCGGTATTTGGAGTGCTTGCGCGAATTTGCCACCCGCCCGGCGGCTCCAGTCTGGAACGCGGCCGGCCCCCTCTCAGTGTGCCACCGGACTGGCCACCCGGTGGCACCCATGTGTCAGCGCAGCCCCCAGGTGGCGCAGCCCACCAGGAAATTTCCCGGTATCCCGGTGGGCCAGTCCGGCCTTGCTTGCAGCTTTCTCAAAAGTGAATATCTGCTGATCAGGTCCATTGTTGCTTAAATAGTCTCCCGATTGTTCTATTCAATTTCGGTGTGTGTACTGGGTATTTCCGGTTTCCGGAATACAAACAATACAAATAAAACATTTTATATATATATGATGTAATCGCATGTAACAGTAACAATGTGATATATGTTGGCAGGACAATCAGACCATTAAAAGTGAGAATAAGCGAACATTGCCGCAATATTGAAAAGGGGCTCATGAGCCATTCTGTATACACACATATACCTTTTTGAAATCTGGAAGTGTCACATAATACAAAGTGTTACATAATACCTTTATACTTGGAATCGGCAATAAAGCGGCACTGTCATGCCGAACTTACCTTTCCCCAATCGCTTCCTCTTCTCTCCCTCTCTCAGGATCTGTTCTTTTTTTCTGATCTGCTCTAGTTTTCTGTAAAACATAAAACAAAGTAGGGACTACAAAAGGTATAAGAAAGAAAGTATAACCAACTTGTTTATTTAACAAAATAAAATAATCAAATTATAAACAGAATACAATACCAATAAAACAATGAATCAAAAGTGTTCATATTCCTGTTAAGATGCGTTTTGCTCTCTTCAAGCTTTATCAGTTGACATGTTAGCACTTCTCTGCTTTTTTTTTAAAATCGCTGAAAAATCTGCCCATTTTCCTCCATCTCCCAATCGGAATGCTCCT